ATATATACATATATGAAATCCTTTGTGCCCTTACAGAAAAAAGCACAGTGCTTTTAATGTTATTGACTCAGAGATATAATATATATGATATTCTTCAAGAGGTATAGCTTTTAATAAATTGAGATGGGAACGTTAGAGTTTTATTATCCTGTTTCCAGCCATGCCCTGGAGCTGGGAATTAGAAGGCTATAATTAGAAGGAAATTATCCTAGTAAGAGGAAGGGAAACTTTTTTCATATACTAAAATGGAAATTGAGCTATAGCCAACACTTCTATAGTTCTATATATTTCTGTTTTCATAGGTAAAAGTTCTGCAGTGGTGGCATTAACTTTGGAGCATAAATTTGGATTTTCTCTTAGAAGATTTCTGGGGTTGTTTTGAGCCTGTAGGATGATCTTTTGACATATAAATCATATATCTCTTCTGACTAAAATGCTTCCATGTCATCCTGTCACAATTTGAATTAAACCCAAACTCTTGTTGGTCTTTTCCCCAGCAAGCTCATGCACACCTTAGGGGTTTTGTACTTGTTATTCCTTCTGCCTAAAAGCTATTGTGTAATCTTCAGGGCACTTTTGACTATCCACATTGCTTTCTTTATGTATTTGTTTACGTATTTATTATTCATATTCTCCTAGAATATAAGCCTCTTATATTCCCAAGGTCTAGAATAGAACCTATTACTCAATAGTGAATGTGAATGGATGGACAGATGATAAAATGGATGAATAAATGGATTTCTATGTTACCTTACCCCACACATTTAGGAACCTGAAACATTAGAAGGCATGGAAATTTTATAGAATAAGTGAGTGATTGGTTTCTGGTCTTAGATCCTTGTCTTCTCTTCTGTTTTTCTTTCAGACTCCAAGTACATGTGATGTTTTCATCTCCTATAGGTTTTTATCCTTGTTACCTTTAGTTGGAATAGTGCTTTAAGTCTATCCATTTAAACTGTGGGCTCTTGGAATAATTTGTTCTTCTAGGTCAGTTGATCATGTCTTTTTAAACACTTTTAGTAAAAATATAAATGACTTACAACATAATAAGAGTGCAGCTTAGTAAAACATTTGTTCAGACAGCAAGAAAATATTTTTTTTGTTTCTGCATTGTGAGCGTTAAGAAAAAAAATCAAAGGTAAAGAGCCATATGTGTTATGTGTCAAAGATGAACTAAGTGGAGAGGGAGAACATTTTAAGGATAATGAAAAATATTGCTAAGGCATGGATGTATAAGGAAAGTAATTCAGGTATAGAATATGAGTATATTCATTTATCTTGGAACAGCTACTAGAGAGGGCAAAATGGAGCTTAGATGATAAAGTATTAAACCAAGCTACAGAATTTGGACTTTTTTCCTATGGGCTTTAGAAAATAGGTGAAGTGCCAGGCATGGTGGTACACGCCTGTAATCCCAGCACTTGGGAGGCTAAGGCAGGAGGATCACTGTGAGTTCGAGACCAGCCTGAGCTACACATTGAGTTCCAGGTCAGTCTCAACTACATAGTGAAATCCTGTCTCAAAAAAAAAAAAAAGTAATAATAATAATAATAGGTGAAGTGTTAGAAGTGGGAGACTAAGTAAGATTTGTATTTTAACAAGCTATTTAAATAGCAGTGTGAGAATACAAGAAAAAGAATTTCAGGAAGGAAATCTATATGCAAGGATTAGTTCAGGTGGGGTAAAATGAATGAGTGAACCAAGTGAGAAGGGAATCAGAGAACAGAGGGTGAATTCAAGAGATTCTTGGGCCAGGGATTTAGCTCAGTGGTGCTGCCTGCCTTGCAAGCCCAAGGTCCCATGTTTGATCCCTGATACTTAAAGAGAAATTCTGAAGGTATAAATGACAGCCTATAGAGGGAAAGGATAAGATAAATCTGAGGTCCTGACTTAGACATCTAGATGAATAATGTCTGGGAGAGTTTTCAGTAGGGCTTAAGAAGTAGCATACTTCCTGTTCAGAAGAATCAGCAGATGAAGTAAGAAAACAATTCCTTTATTATTATTAAAAACTGTTAAAACAGTAGAATGAGCTTTAATAGAAGATCCAATTTGATTTGCTTACTCTATCCATTAAATCAGCACACTGAAGAAATGTAATTCTGCATAGCAGGTGCAGTTTTCCCCCTGTCATTTCTTTTCACTGGTTCAGCAAGAAAGGAGAAATAAAATTACCTCTCATCTTTAGATCATCCAGTGGGTTGTTTTTCACCAGCCTGATAAACTGTTCCCCTTCATACAAAGGAATAGAGAGTGGGACAAAATGCAACTTAGCATGTGACAGTGTTGTCAACACAGTAGAAATAACAGAAGACGGAGTTTGGGATGGGGAGGAGGAAGGAGATAGCTTAGTTCTTTTTCTGCTTCTAATTACACAGTATTACAGACTAGATAAGTTACAGAGAAAAAAGGTTTATTTTGGTGATGGTTCTTTCCAAGTCTGATGATCCACATCTTATGATGGCTCTCTTACTGATGACAGAAACCCAGTGTGACAGCCAAACTACTTTTATGTCAGAGCCACTCTGGAGGTAATCCATTAATCCATACTTATATGAATGGAGTGATACATTCCTTAGGGCAGAGCCCTAATCACTTTTTGAAAGTCCTAACTTTCAATGTCTTATAGTGAGGATTAAACTTCAGATTCAGTTTTGGAGGGAGCAAACCATATTCAAACCATAGCAGAAGTCATAAATTTAGAATTTAAGATATAGTAGTCAGTTGGTCATAAAAATTACCACTCCAAAATATTTCCTAAGTTATGTCTTTACTTTTTCAGTAGTATAATGAGGTCATTAGCTAAGCTAGAATCACTGTGATAAGTATTACAAATCAAGAATTGTATATAGCACAGGGGTGGAGAGTAGGGGGATGGATATAATCAAAATATATGCATTAAACCTCCAAAAAATGTAAAGCCTAGGGAGCAGAGGAGAGGAAATGATCAAAGTAGTCTGCCAAAATTAAATTCATTAATTTGTATAAGCATTGTGTACTAATAAAAAAAGATGTGAGACAAAAGGAAATATATACTGCAAGAATATTTCTAGTAATACAGTTCAACTTTAAGACCAGAGGCTGTTTATGAAAGAATCTGAGGAAAGGATTTCCTTTTTCTTTTTGTGGTGCTCGTGATCAAACCAGGGCCATGCTAGGCAAGTTACTCTACCACTGAGGTACACCTCCAGTGAGTCAGAGATTAAATAGTGACCTCTAAACTCTCATCAACTCTAAAAGTCTATAGAAAAAGATGCTTGATAAATCATCAGTGATTTGATAATATACTAATAGTATTTTATAATTCATGTGGAAATCCACAAGCATGCTTCATTTGAATGATACATGTACATTGATGCTGTTTGAACAATATAGGTTAGAACTTTATCTTGGCTAAAAGTTTGAGACAACAGAATATAAATCTTAATTATTTCTGGAGTTGAGTTTTGTTCTGTTTTGCAGTATAAACCATGTAGAAATGAATGTTATGATGCATTTTATCTATGGAGGAACTTTGGATTTTCCAGACAAAGCTAACGTTGGGTATGTATTACTTTTTAATAAGTTTAAATATAAACTCTTAATATTTTACATGTTTTGCTTTGTTATATTGCAGTGTCAATGAAGTAGAAGCTTCCCCAAATTTTATGATCTATTTTGTGTTATCTTGAGTGTGTTTAAGGAATATCTAAAAATAATGTCACCTTATTTAGAATAAAATATGACATAGTAACTAATAGTAATATGATAAAGAAAGCTCTTCATTAGACTTAAATTGTTAGAAGAGTCTTTTTCTTTCTTTGCTTCCTTCCTTCCTTTTCTTCCTTCCTTCCTTTTCTTCCTTTCTTTCTTTTGCACTACTCAGAGTTGAACCCAGGGCCTCATGCACATTAGACAAACACTCTCCCACTGAGCTATTTCACTGGCCTTTTTTTTTGTTTTTTTCTCCTTTCCTGCCCTGTCCTGTCCCTGTCCCCATGCCTGTCCCATCCCATCCTATCCTGTCCTGTCCTTTCAAGATAGGATCTTCCTAAGTTGCCCAGGCTGAGTTCAAACTTGGAATCCATTAACCAGTATTTTATCTAAAATTGAATATTATTTTACTACTTTATTTTTAAATTTTAGAGTGTTTTTAAAACATCAAAAGAAAAACCTTAAAACTTTTAAAAAGGATATAAATGTATCCTAAAGACCAGTAATTATGTGATTCTTATGTATTATGTAGTGAAATACCATTTAAGCTTTTCATATTCTACTAGAGTAAAATTCTCTCTTGTTCTTCTTTTCCATTATATTCTAACATCAGATAAATGAAATATACCTTTCAATTTTAACAATTCGTAGAGGTTCTTTAAATGTCAAACTAAATGAATATGTTTTTTGGGAGAACATATCATGGATCACAGGGGTTAAATATTAAAGATTTAACCCCTGGTAACCTACATGAGTTTTTAATTCTGCTTTCAAGGCTTGTACGTTTCCTGCATAGCTAAAATATGTGTAGTACTTGAAAATACTAGCCAAACTCTCTGGTGATTGGATACTGTCTCTAAGCTCAGAGACATTTTTAGGTTTTGTTTTGTTCTTTAGTACTGGGGATCGAACTTAGGCCCTTGCGCTTGCAAGGCAAGCAGCAGAACCACTGAGCCAAATCCCCAGCCTAGGGATTTTTGATAGGCTAAGCATCAATGAATTCCCTCTGAAACTCTCATTATATAAATTTGTTGCAAGATTTATGTAACATGTATAGTCTTCAAAGCAGTTTCCTGGGATTTGTTCTGTATGTCAACTGAGCAAATGAGGGAGATTTGAAACATCTCCAAATTTACTTTTTTCTTGTTATTCACCACTAAATAAATCATGAGTCAATGCTTTCAGTTTTTGCCTACATCCTTTTTATAATCCATAAAGAATGCTTATTAAATTAAACAAAATGTTAGTATAAAATAATTCAGGTTATTCTTCTAAACAGATTTTCTAAACAGATTATCAATAAATTATATCTTATACTTTGAATTTTTTAAATTTGAGAATTAACAGTACATCTATTTTTATTTTAGTCAGATACTCAGTATCGCTGATATGTATGGACTAGAAGGATTAAAAGAAGTAGCAATCTACATTTTAAGAAGAGATTACTGTAATTTCTTTCAGAAGGTAAATATTGAGTCTCAGAAATCTTTGCCTAGTGGTTGAAATAACCCATTATTTACTTTCAGATTTTAACTTTGGTAGTAATAGTACTTTAAAAATATTAAAAATGCTAAATCTATTTAACTAATAGGAGGCCCTGAAAGAGCCACACATCAGCAAAGGCCATCAGCATCTAAATTACAGTGAAGTCAAGGACAAATCCCTAGTAGAGTGGACCCTCAAGTTAGCACCAGCCTGACATATGAACAACTTGAGTTAATTAGGTTAATGGAAGATTCACCTGCCTCTTCTTATATATAGTGTTTATCAAGTAAATTTCCAGATCTCAGCTGTATTGACTTAGTTACAGCTAGCCCTTGGGAACCAATCAAGTTCATAAGTCAGGGGTCCACTGTACCATCTTAGTGTATGCTTAATTACATAAGGTGATCATAGAATTCCATGCCCTCTTGATGTGTATTACTGTGGTGATGGATATTTGAGAGAAGCTTCTATTTTCATTAACCCGATCCTTAAGATTTTATGCTTTACAAAAAAATTTTTGCCTTACTTATTTTAATTAATATACTTTTGAATATATATATAGTCTCAGTTACTTTTCTGTCATTGCTGAGAAAAATACCTGACATGCAAAGATATAGGGGAAAGGGTTTATTTAGCTCACAGTTTGTAGAGGTTTCAGACCATAATCACCTGGCTCCAAGGCAAAGTGGCCCATGGCAGAAGGGCGTCACAGAAGAGAAATAGTTCATGGCTCCCATACGGTAGCAAGAGCAAGAAGGGAACCTTAACAGCATCTTTCTGCCCCTTTTAACTTATCCATACAACTGGGATTAGGGCAGTGCCAAATCAATCAGTGTACTAGTCTAGTAATCACATGCTCTTAATCCCAGTATCACTTTAACTCTACATTCAGTCACCCCTAAAAAAGCCACCTATAACTGCATGAGGCTTTGGGGGGACATCTAGATCTAAACCATGTATATATTTGTGTGTGTGTTTGTGTGTGTGTGTGTGTGTGTGTGTGTGTGTAATTTCTAACGTATATATATATATATATATATATATATATATATATATATATTTTTTTT